AGGCAGCGTGCGGCTCCGTGGACTCGGCCATCTCCCGCGGGTGAGAGGGCGAGAGGAAGCACTCCCGCCCTCTGAGGCGGCCGTCCGAGTCGGGGAGGCAAACACACAACCATCCTCGCGGGTGTGGGCGGCCTTATCGGCCCGCTATGCTAACCCAAAGTCGGCCCTTCCTCGCGGTCGGCTGCGGAGGCCCCTTAGCCCTAGCCGGAGCTAAGGGAGCCGACTTTTTCGGCGCTAACCCTAGGAGAAACCGCTCCGGAATAGGGTTACCGGCACCATCGGGCGGCGCCATGCGGATGGAGGGAGTCGGGTCTGCCATCGGCGGGCCGTCAGGGCGCTGAGAAGTCAAGGACGACTTTTTAGCTCCACTTTCGGCGTGCCGGAGTATATAAGGTAAGATATCCCGGCGCGTCCCGATAAACCGAAACGACGTGAGCGTCCAACAATCGCCGCGCGCTCGGCCTCTGGAAGGCCGCATGCGGCAGCTTCGCGCACTGGCCAGACCGGTATGTGTCGGGGCAGCACTGCTGGCTTCGCGGTCGCCAGTCGTGCTCTCGCTGCCTGCCGGTGCTGATTCCCGCGCGGCGGAGCGGCCGGCCGCCGCCTCGACGAAGGCCTGGTCGGCCTCCGAGACCTGTGCTTTACACAGCGGGCACTCCGGTGGGGCCTGCTGGTTTGACCGAGCTCCAAAGGCGCTCCGCAAGCAGCCCGCACAGAAAGCGTGGGTGTGGTGACAGCCAAGCTGGCAGATGGTCGCCGTCTCTTCCACCTCGGAGAAGTCACAGAGGCAGATCCCGCATCTACTCTCGAAGAGCAGTTGCCGGTTCTCCTCTTGCCGCAGGAGCTGGTGCTCGATGTGAAGCCGGAGCCTCTGGCTCCGAGCTTCTTCTTCGAGCACCTCGAGGTAGGACATGGTCGTCCCATCCTCCAGCGGCCGCCCCTCCGCCTCCTCCAACCACCAGCTGTCTGCGGCCCCGTCCGATTGGCTCTGTCTCTCTCTCTCTCTTCTCTCTCTCTCTCTCTCTCTCTCTCCTCGCGGCCTGCCGGAGATAGGGAGCTGTCGTCTGCACTATCTCGCTGCGTGCTCGGTCCTGGCGGGTCGGAACAAGCGGTCCAGGGGTTCTCCCGCTCGCCGGCCGGTGTGGCCGGCGCGCTCTCCTCGACGCACGCCGCGCTCGCCCCTGATATTGGCCACGAATCCTCAGCGACGGTGCGCTCCGCCAAACGCTCGACCCGCCCGACAGCCTCCAAACGGGGCGCGCCACCCGCAAACGGGGCGCGTTGGAGGGTGGGTGTGGTCCGCGCGTGCGGAGCGCGTGCGCCTGAGCGGCCGCTCGTTTATGCGCGCGTTGTAGGTGCCATGTCGGGGCGGGCAGCGTTGAATGACGCCATGGTGGCGGAGGAGGAGAAGGCGATCGTGGCGCGGCTGGCGGCGCTGCTGCCGGCGCTGGGCCTCGCGGCATGCGTTCCGCGGCTGCCGATCAAACGCAAGCTCCGCGACAACGACTACGCGCCCAAGCACCAGTCTGGCACATCATGAACGAACGATCAACGACACGCGCGAGCGGCAAGGGCTCCGGATATCGGCCATGACTCCCCAGCAACGGTGCGCCTCGCCAAACGCATGGCCCACCCGCCAGCCTCCCACAGCCCTCCCCTCTGCTCCTCCCGCCGCCGACGTGGCGTCACGCGGCCTCTGTCCTCGACGGACTCGACGCCACAGGCCTTTCTTCGCCTTCTCTGGCCTCCCGCCCGGCCTCCCGGATCGCGTCTCCGTGGCATGTGGACACCCGGCCCGTCCCCATAGGGACCCTTGCCCGCGGGAATTTCCTCTTCCTGGAAGGGCGCCGGTTATTGTTTGACCCTTTATCTTCGAATACCTTTTTGGGCCCG